TTATGAATTGATGCTATACAAATACAACTCAATTGAATTGAAGAATTTAAATCAGAAAAGTAACTAAAGCTGTCAGACAAATGTAGGGGAGTAAAAACTACAATATTTGCCTCTGAGATTTAGTGGAGTAAAGTACGTTCCAGCAGCACTTTGACCGCCATGTTATTCCTCCACTTGTGGGCAAGAACAAGGAGTTTCTCAAAGAAAGTCTTCAAGCCTTCAGACTTGTATTATGAAGTGTGCTTTTTAACATTATTTTAGTTTTTTACTAACTCTCTCACTATGTTCTGTCACATACAGGAAAACCCAGACAAGATATAGCTGCTGGAGCCAGCGTCGTTCTGAAATGCCTCTCTGACGTTTCTGGGTCACGTGTCCCAATGTGGACCAGAGAAAGGAATGGAAAAAACATCACTGTTTTCTCTCAGAATCAGACGGACGAGCACAGGTTTCAATATTCGGCCGAGGAAAACGTGCTGACGATAAAAGGAGTGCGGCCTGATGATGCCGGATTGTACTTCTGTGATGGAAAACCAGCTGCGTATCTGAATGTGAGCAAAGAGGAGGAGTCTGAGGGAGGTGAGAGAGGTGAGAGTCGCAGTTCAGCATCATTTCACCTATATTTCTGTGTTAGTGTGTCAGTTATTATGAATTTTATCTTCCAGCTGCTGTTTTGCTGGCTGTAATACTCCTCCCCCTCCTCCTCATCATTTTCATCATCCTCTTCCTCATTTGGAGATGCCGCATCAAAAGACGAGGTGAATGACGGATGAAATATATCTGAAAATGCATTATTTTGGTGATTATAAATTATAAAAAAAACGTTACACCATCTTTACCTACGTAGAATATATATATAATATAATAACAAATGATGGCGTCTTTTCAATAACCTTTGACTCCCAACTGCTCAAACAGTGGCCCTTTGCTTTAAAATATAAAGCTGTAGGTATCCTTTAGTGTTATTTCTGGGTGCACAGCCCTGTGGTCAAGTTAGTGATAATCCTGTTAGATTTTCAAAATAAAGCTTGCGTGGTTAGGGCTGTGAAATGATCGCAGTTAGGTTTCGGCACAAAAAGCACTTGATAAGGTTTAATAAAATATCTTAACTGATACATGAATAGAAGGTAACTTTAAATAAATTGTTTACTTCTGGTTTCACACGGGACACCAGCAGCAGTCTCATGGGTTAAAGTCCTGTTTTTATTTATTTATTTCTATGTTTATTTAGCAATACACAATAAATGTATTGTACAATATATAGCTAAAAGCACATTTTCATCTTTAGTCCCTGGGCGGAGGTCACTAGTGTTCAGGTTACAAAGATAAAAGATCAGTAGTAAATCAGAACCTGACACAGATTAAATAGTTTTACTTGTACACATTACTTACTTACTTGTTCAAGTTTTGAGGTGTAATGCTTTGGCTATATTTTTCATTGATTTAAGATACAATTTTAACAAAATTAGACAAATTATGACTGAAAAAGATTCCTTTATTTCCCAGACAACAATCGACTAAATATATTTGCTCTTCTATTTTATTTATCAAAGTACCAAATCATTTTGTATTTTCTAGGTAGGGTATAAACTGTGCAAAACAATGCGTATATTCCTTTTATTTCACATATTTTAACATATTAGAGCATATATCGTCATATCTTTCATCATTCCTATAAATGACTGTCCACTGAAGCAATAACTGTGTCACATTCATGCTCTTATTTGGTAGGAAGTGGTGAGGAAATGCCTGACATCTACTACGAAAAGGTATCGATTGGATCTGTGTTTGAACCCGCACAAGGTGAGACATAAGAGTTATTAAAGAGTTATTATAAACTAGGCTTAAAGTGCCACCTGGCAGTTATACAGAGTCAATACGTTTTTGTGCATAACTTGTTTATTGAAGGAAACACATTATTAATCACGTATGCAAAAACACTGGAATTAGTCAACAACTGGTGAAAAGGTTCAGTTCAATAAATGTGTGTCGGTTTTAATTTCTAGATGGTTTAAACCAAAACGATCAGACTTACTCCGTCATCCATGAACTTCCAGCACTGGCAAACGAGAGCGGTAAAGTCTGAACTGTCATCAGTATCCAGCTACTGTCACACAGTCAATTCATTCAGATGATACTGTGTATATTTGGTTTCGCTGTAGCTGCTTTAAATATTCATATTTGTTTTGGTTTTTTTACAGCAACATCTCAACCCAGTGAGCCCCTTTATTCCCTCGTCAACAAGTTCTGATGTCACTGAAACAAATGTAGGTTTCATTCTTTATGTTGGCTATTATTTATATAATGTAGTGCATGTTGTGAATTTAGTGCATTAAAAGAATGTGTTATACAAGTAGTGTAAGAGTTCAGCATTACTGTGACTAAAACTATGTTTTATTTTTAATATTCCTTAATGCTTCTGATTATTTTCCAGATTAATCAACTAACCAATTTGCCTATAAAATGTCAAAACAGAGTAAAGAAATGTCCAAAATCCAACGGAGTGCAGTTTCCAAAACATAAAACCACCAGAAAATATCCACTTACTTCTGCATGAGTTGTTTTTTATTACTTAAACTTAGTTTTAAGTTAGATGAAACTGACATTTCATGGATCATTTTTTACTTTCAGTGAGAAACGTTTTGTTTGTGTTACAGAAACGGACCAGATAAGGAATACATCGTCTCCTCCTCCTGTTGACTCAACGCTGATCCAGCCGCTGTAATTTATGCCGTATAATAGATTGTGTTTCAGGATTTAATAATTTTCACGTTTACAATTAATTTTACTTTAATTTTAAATTGTGTTCTTTTAATCTACAGATGTACAATTTTGTAAATTGTGTGGGGGTTTTTTTGGCTTTGCCTGCGTCAGCGTTGTGGTT